TTTATTCCTTATAACTGCTTTTCACTTTTTTTGTTGTGAGAGATTTGCATCTGTCCTATGATAATCTTCATGGTTTCTCTCTCTGTGTACATCATCTGTTGTTTGTACAATTCCCTGCTACTGGGCCACTTTACCCTTTCGTTGTGCCTCCATTTATCATATTGGCTGCTCCATATAGTTTTATCCATCTGCTCTGACCCAATGATATTTCTGTATCCTGCTGCCAGCCATGTCTTGTCTGCTCCATTCCTTGGTTCCAACCATTTATAGTGGTCTCAACTTAACTGTTAGGCTTGCACTCAAGCCCATTTGTAAATTAATTATTTCAGATAATTGTTTCCCTTTCTAGTGATTTGAGTTAGCTTGTAGGCTTAGACTCAGACGTAATTTTTGTAAGTTGGTGTCGACTGTTGTGTTCTGATAGGATATACTTTTGAAGTTTCCTAGTTGGTGGCTGATATGTGATCTCATTCTAGGAAAAAAGCCTTTTCTATAATTTAATCCCATGCAGATGTGAGGAAACTGAGATTGTAACTATGCTTATATTCTTTACTGCTTAAATGTTGGAATGTTTTATTGTTAGATTTGGATGGGATTCTTTTCAAGGGCATGCTACACTTTGATTCATGGCTTCTTTGAGAACATGTTGAACACATTAGATGGACAAATCTAATTCATCTTGACAAGTTATTGTTGCTGAAACAAGGAACATTGCTTCGGGGTACCAAACTCGTCTAGGTCTTTGGTCGGACCATTACGTAATGGTGTGACTTGAAGAGGAAGGAGGAGAAGAGGAAGGAACAAATGGCAGTGGAGGAAGAGAAGGAAGGTGGAAGGAAGAAGAGGAGGCAGCGGAGAAAGCAGAAAAGGAAGAGACAGGAAGAAGAGGAGGCGGTGGAGGAATAGGAGGAAAAAGGTAGAGGAAGGAGTGGAGGCAATGGAGGAAGAGGAGAAGAGACACGTACTGAGTAGGCAGTGGCTTTGCATTGGGTGGTGTGCAGTGGAGGTTCTCGCGATGCAACGTTTTTTTTTCATATGGCCAGACCACCAGACTACTTGTAACGGGAGAGGTCCACATACCAGCTCACTGCAGACTGGTACATGCAACTCGTTTCATACTGCTTTGGAGAAACGGTATTCCTTGGGCTGAAAAATGCTATGGCTGGATTAGGACTTAACAACTATATAAGTTAGATTAAATAATTTTGTTAACTAGTATAGTTTAGGCTTTTCTTTAGGCATTAATTTCAGATTGTTTGTATCTTCCTGGGAATAAGTTTTACTATTTTCCAAACTTTCGGACTTTCAGATGTACTTGTTGCAAATATTATAACATAAGAGTGTAGACCATGTTTTGTCCAAGTTATAATTGATTCTGGCTGTCTTGGAGGAACCTATTAAAATAATTAGGTGCTTTGTAGTATTCAGAACCCAAATGCTGGTGTTTATTACCCTTCTGTCCTCGTACAGTTTTCATTGGTATCGATGCTTCTATCTTTAGCTTAAGTTCTAATGTATATGGAAAAGTTTGTGAAGATTTCTCTTTTTCTTTGTGGGCTGGACAATAGTTCTTTCTGTACATTGTTGTTGGTAATGGCCTTTAGCACAAAGCAAATGTAATTACTTGTTTCAGGTTAAGCAAAACATAGAAGGACAAGCATATCAGCATATAGATGCACGTTCAAAGGCGAGGTAACTTCTTATTATATTGTCTTGTTTAAGTCATAATATTTCAATATAATTGCTTTTAGCTTAATACTTTGACATGCTGTAAATCATCCTTGATTTTTTTTTGACACATTATACTCCAGTCCTTCCTTTGAAGGCTGCGTCATAAATTTTGATTTCTTGTCAGATTGGCCAGAGGACTTTCTGGAAATCTACAGCCCTATGATGTATTTGTGATTTCTGTAAGAAATATATATATATATATATATATATATATATATATATATATATATATATATATATATATATATATATATATATATA